TATTTGTTTTGACCTAAGAACCTTCAGTGAAATACCAGCTTCCATTTGATTTATTGATTATTAAAAACGGACGTACCTAATGCACACAGCTAAATCACAAACAACACAAATTAATAAAAAAATGGAGTTATTTCGTATAATAGCCTAGTTATTTTGTTTAAGTTTTAAGACCCCTTTTTCTTACTTTATTCTGGTGCCACGCAATGTCCAACTAGATAAAAAACATCCTCATTTAATAAGCTTTAAATTGATATGCAATTTTAAATTGTTGTAGGTAGAATTGACAGAAAAACTACCATCAAACTAAAGTAAAACACGGTTTACCGATTTGGTTTTAGCAAGGTAACAAAACTACTAATATTAAACTCACTGATTTACACATGTCTTGGTTCAAATCGTACTGGTTCAAATCAGCTGATTCAATTGTTATGATATTATGTCAATTATGTTAAGTCTAAATCAGCTATAGTAAATAACGTTATTTGGTTTCCTAGTCAGATTAAAACGCTTGTTTGTTATTTTTCACGTTATGGATCCTTTCACAAGTTCAGAATATGCTGATATGCAATATGTTTATGGTTTTTGTTCCGGAAATGCATCTGAAAGTGTTCGCGAGTACATTCGACGCTTTCCAGACAGGCTGATTCCTGATCGAAAAACATTTATTCGCGACCACCAGTGTTTGCGTGAAAATGGAAAGTTTTCCACCAACGGCCGCTTAATTGGAAACTTGATGCAAGATGTCGGATTGGAAGAGGCTGTCTTGGAACGGGTAAGTGAAGATCCAAGTATAAGTACGAGGACATTAGCCCGTGAGTTTGGGGTATCTCAAACATTTGTGTCAAAACTATTACGAAAAGAGGGGCTGCACCCATTTCATTCCACGCGCGTCCAGAAACTCGAGCCGAGAGATCCACCTCAGAGGCTCCAGTTTTGTCAGTGGATCCGGTAACATGACCGCAGGGATTTCCTGAAAACAATTTTATGGACTGATGAATGTTCGTTTACGAGAGATGGAGTCTTTAATTTCCATAATGGGCATCACTATGCTGACGATAGTTTTGTAAACTTCCATGTGTGAGTTTTCTAATTTTAAATGGGTGGATATTTTTCCCATTATTTTCTTTGCTGATTTAAGATTATAGTCTTTATAAGAATCAAAATAGCAAAATTTGTTGTCGATTTTACTATAGACCAGTAAGCTCCAATGTGTTCCAGAGCTAAAGTCACCCTGTATGTCGTTGGTGTCAAGAGACTCCGCATCATTAACAGGTATCATTATATAAGACTTTGTATCCAACTTCAGTGGCTCCAAGATGCTGGTTGTGTCCTCTATGTATTTTGCTGCTATTCCAATAACTGGATTCATTATGTGGACTAAGAGTTTTTGATCAACAGTGGAGTTTAATAAATCAAAGTGCACCTGAATAGTATCATCTGTCAACCAATTTCCATCCAATATTGATATACATATTGCTATGTCATTTGTCATAATATGTTTTTGGCTTTCCTGTGCTTGAAATTCTGTATATACAATTTACTTCTGGTAATCCATTTTTTGAGAGAAGTGTTGCAAAGCTTGAATCAATTTGTGCTTCTGTATAAATGGGTTGTTGACTGAAGGAGTCCCAATCTGAGCTGTCAGTCTGTGTCACTTCTGAGTTACTTTCATTGTCAGTTGCGAGTGTTAGTACAGATTCTTCCAAAAACGGTTTGACTTTTTTCTTAGTTGAAAAGTTGAAGTCTCCAATCTTATATGGCAATTTATGTTGCTCTATAATATGCTGCTAGTTCCTTACGGGATCTAAACACTTTTCCCCTTGGAGATTTTATATAAATGTCTATTTTCCCCTTATTTATTCCTTTTTTTCTAATTACTTCCACCCTCAACCATCCTTTTGGCAGTTCAACAATGTTCTCTTTAATTAATTGTTTGTACAATGAAAAATTGTGTACATAAACAACTAATGTCTACTTATTTGATCCATCAAGTTCAATATTTTTTAATTGATTAAAAATGTATCTTTATATAAACAAATAAAATAGCCTAATAGCAATCAGTGAATTGCAGTACAGATTATTTAAAAGTGTTTCTATTGAAATTATATTCCAGCAAGACTATAGACACAGCTGTAGAGATAAGTCCAGGCATAGGGTTTGTTTACATTTGCTAATCAACAAGTGATAAGATGTCTGCTGATGCCATTAATGAACCTGTGTGGTGGTGGTGGTGGGATTATGAGTCTGTACAGTCCAAATAGAACAGGAAAGTTTCTACTGAGGTCAAAACAGATTGCTTCCTTCCTGTCTTCAGTTTTAATATTTATTTTTTAGTATCTATAGTTAGTTTTTCAACTACTTGTAACTGTGTATAGGTGGTCAACTTGACTTCTGAAAAGTCCCTTCAATAACATTTGTTGTGAAGTGTCTTTAAAATTGAAAAACTTATAGAGTGAAAACATGTGCTTTTAAAATGGAAAAACTGGCAAGTTTTAAATATTACGTTTTTGACAATATAAACCAATAATTTCTGGAATGTTTGTTGCAGTTAATAGAACTTACTTAATTGATTATTATCCTGCGCACTTTACTGAAAACCACTTTGAAATACTCGACTTTTTAAATAAAAACTTAGCCTACTTGAGATAGTTTAATGACTGTTTTCTTGAACCAACTTGAACCAATGACTGTATGAAATTGAGTTACTGTATGAAAATGTTGTGTTCATTTGCCTCGTATTATTAAAATAAGAATACCCTTACTCGTAAACCTGGTTTTTATTTAGTTTCATAGTAGTTTTTTTGTAATTTCTACCAACATCAATTTAAAACTGCATATCAATTTAAAGCTTATTAAATGAGGAAGTATTTATCTATTTGGACATCGCGTGACACCAGAATAAAGTAAGAAAAAGGGGTCTTAAAACTTAAACAAAATAACTATTATACGATATTTTTTACTTTAATTCGGCTAGGAACCGATGTATGTAATGAAATATTTTTTCATGTAACCTTGGTTTTGTAGCAAATTTAATGCCCTTTTGAATTATTTTTAATATAAATCGCTAGATTAATTGGTTTAATTCTTGTGAAGTAAATAGTAGCAGAAAGTCCAATATTGTTAGAAAATACAAAATTCTCAATTACGAGCAAACGGTTCGGAATCGGACTAGGGTTTACAGCAACTTTTTTGTTCATTTTGATCAGTAGAATTCACTGGCGAAGTTATAGGCGTCAGTAGAAACTCACCCTGTATAATAACCTACATTAACTTAACCTATCCTAACCCCGCAGAGCGCTGTATTGTGGTATTCCTAATATTGTGTCCTCCACATAATCAATAACTACCAACTTGGGCCAACCTTTAAACTGCCAATGGCGTGGAGGATGTCTTGCGAAGATCTCGCATGTTGAAGGGTTTAATATTAACCCTAAACTTCTCCATCGGCTTGTCAGTTTCTTCCTCTTCAAACAAATTCTTCATTAGGCTTATCTTGCACACTTGGCAATGCAGGTTTTGGCAGCCCTATCCCTACTAGCCCGCCAAAAACCTTTTTGATAGTAACATCAGAATTAGAACACTGATGCTGCTCCATTGAACTTTCATTTTCATTTTCATTCAGCATTTCTACCTCCAGCATGACTGGCAGGTTTTCAATGTCCATTTCGGTCAATTTGGATGCTTTGTCCAAGGGGTTAGCATCAGAGTCGAACTGGGAACTTCCACCAAACATGACTAGATCCCCTAATAATTCCTTAACTTTTAAGTCGGTGTCGGTTATCTCTACCTTTATTGGGGGTCCACCTCCGGTACCCATTGTGTATGATTTTTCATCAGCAAAATTTCTTTTAGTGGTTTTTTTTAGGTTTTCATATTTGTTTTTAAGGCTTTTGCATCTCTAAAATAAACACCGCTGGCTTCGTTGAATTCAGATTGTACGGTCCCATACAATTTCTTTGTCCCTATTGGACACATGGTCAGTCTTCTTGCACTCCAAAACGTCCCTATGACTTTTTACTAAATCCAAAAGCAATCTGATTTCACTTTCTTTAAAATTTTTGCTTCTATCCCTATTCTTTTTGCATCCTAGTTCAAACAATCCACAAACTTTTAACTTTAGCCTAGAATAACACTGATCAATTTACTAAACTAAATTTAGAAATAAATACTGGATTTTTAAAAAGAAACTAAGATAATAGTAAGTAAAATAAAGAACTAACAATTACAAATTAATACAAGAACTGAACGCCTGATAATAAAACATAAACAGAACCTATTGTAACACTAGGCTTGTAGATTAGAATACGTACCAAGAACTCGAATGACGCACACTAGCCCAAAGCTCACCGAAGATTCCTAACAAATACACATTCAGGATTGCCAACCGCTCGAATGCCGTTTATCTTAAACGAAGCCAGTAAAATGTTGGAGAACCGAACACACATTTTAAACGGAGTTTAAAAATAAACTAGTTTATTATAAACAAAGTTTACACCATTTTGGGGCAAACTGCCTTAATAAACTAACTTGAACCTAAATTTAAATTTTTGGCCTGTAATTAATAACTTTGAGATAATTAAATTACTGAAATTCTCACTTCCAGAATAGTTGATAGGGATGAGTGTTCTAATAAGAACCTAAAAATATTTGTCTTCCTAAAAAAAATTGTCTCATGTAAACAACCTACAGACTCTGAATCAACTATTCTTTTATTTTGGTTTCTTTTTAAAAAGGAATTGAAACCAAATTTAACTTGTCTAAAGTAAAGTCTAAAGTAAAGGATTTGTGAAGCTTAAAGAAAAGTTGACAGTTATCCTTTTTTTACATAACGGAAAATAGTTCCCCCCTCTAAAGAATTTGATCTCGCACCTCAAAATTTGACCTGACCCCTGGAATTTATCTTACTTAAGGATAAAACCCACGTAACCAGATTGACTATCCTGGCCCTCAACCTAAATATCTAACCTACTACCCGAAAATAGGTTACATAAAAAACAGAGTTAAATAATAAACAATATTATTTTATTACTATCAAGGTGGTACACTAAATAAAGATTGGAGAATTTTTCTTTGTAACATTGAGAGTTAACTTGATAATTTCCTGTTCTGGAGCAGGGTCCTGATCAACTATTTTGACAGGGGGTAGAGCATAAAACCTACGACCAAATCTTCCACTTTTCCTTTGCCACAGTCCAGATCGAGGTCGACGTCCAAGTTCTCTCAGCCGATTTGGGGAACCAATAGGATACTTGCTGTTGTTTGATAATCGACCTGAAACAATGATTATTGAAAAATGAAGCTGTAGCTTAAGTGAAGAGTTGAGAGTGACAATCCAGTCAGAGGTTGTTATTGCAGGGTGTTCAGCATTCCACCAGAATAAAATTCAAGGACAATTAATTCCAGGTTTTCCAGGTTCAAAATTCATAATAAATTTCCTGGGCAAAATTTAGCGCTGCTTTACTTACTTGTTTATTTATACCAGCAAGTACATTTAAAACCCTTCGGTGAGTTTCGTGATAACTTCTTGCATTCGCAGAAAGATCTATGATCTTATTTTTCAATCAAGGCAATATATTTGTTATAGTTTCTTAAGATAACGGCAACATCATGATCCTTGTTGATGATCCTCTGTGATAGCAGCATCATCCATGATGATTTTATGGTATCATCTTATGGAATATGACTGGGACGGTGGCGTCGTCCTGTAATCCAGCTACTAGGAGGTCACGAATTGTGGATATTTATAGGCATGCACTGTGGATGTGATACTCCCTGGTGTGGATTAACGTCCGCACTAGTGAGTACTAAGACTATGCGCAGTGCAACCCTGATAATTAGACTAATTCGTTAATACCAAGGCAAAAATGTGGTTCGGATTCCACTATAAACTGTAGGTCCTTTGGTTGCCATTAGCTGTATGGGCTATTAATTAACAGCTGTGTCTAAGGAATGTGTCGGCCTTAGTCACTAACAAGACTACAAGATCGCGCCACTCATCCTACACTCATCTACATTCATACTTGGCTTTAAATACCTAACTTTGTTAGGTCGCCATTTAAAAGAAAAACTATTAAAAGTATTAATCGTGACAACATCTGTGATTTCCCGCAACAACGGCAACATCCGTGATGATTTCTGGCAATAGCAGCAACATCTGTGGTGAATTTTGGCGATTTTGGCAAAATCTGTAATGATTTCCTGTGATCTCAACAACATGTGTGGTGATTTCCTGCGATCGCGACATCAACATTCATGATGATTTCCTGCAATTGCGGCAACATCGGTCGTGAATTGCGGCGATAGTGACATAATCCGCAAAGATTTCCCACTATCGCTATTCCCCACGATCGCGGCAATAACTGAGCTAATATAATTTCAATAAATTGTTAGTGCCTAAAAAAAGCAATATATTACGGCTGATGAGGACACAGTCCTAAAACAGCCACAGTTAAGTAGGGTTTCGGCTCCCTGGACTGAAACATAACATCAATAAATGACGAAATAGGTACTCCTGGATTGTTTGATTACTTAATAAACTGCCAAGATTGATTGAGAATAATTTATTCTTTAAGCCGATATATTGCAATTGGCGTCTTCACTCATAAGATTAAAACCTGTAGAAAACATAGAAAAAGGTGACACTTACTTGTTCTTGAGGTCATAAATACTGGTGAACCCCATTAGCACAATTTCTTTTACCATGTTCTATTGGTTTTGTAAAATTATTCACTGATATTTACTTTGTTGGGTGACAAACCATTTCAATTAACTACAGTATTGTTTTATATTTAAGATTAGAATTTAAAATACATTAAACCAAGATGGACATGGTTTTTTTATTATTTATTTTTAAGAATTTCAAAATAAACAAAAAAATGTTTAGTAAACCTTGGTTAATTTTTAAGACAAACCGAGAGTCAATTAATTGACTTATGATATAGTCCTATATCAAGAGTCCTTCTTGGAGGCTAGTGGCCATCTTGGATGATTTCAAACAGCCGCTGAAGAGTTATTTATCATCCAAAAATATTTTTCAAACATCAAAGTGATTATAATTTAAATATCTAGTAGGCCTCTACAGTGGGATTAGAAATTGTCTTTGTAGGTCTTTAATTGTTTTATGAGTTAGAACGTCTAGGCTCCAAGGACTCTTAAGTAGAGGTGATTCCTATAGGAAATTTGCTACATCTCTTAAATGCATACATCAATGAGATAAAATATGTATGAGCACACAATCACTTACCTACAACACACATGTTTTCTTTGGGTAAGGCAACCTCATGCTTGGAAGGTAACTGGACAACAATATTGTCTCCCATTTTTCTGAAAACAAATTATTAGCTCTTAGAATAAATTTGTGTTAGTTACAACATGTAAGACTCAAAATCAACAAAATTTATTGACACCATAATTTACTAGAGTATTTCTTAACATTCGACTACACTAGACAGGAATGGAAATTGAAGGGAAAAGAGACACTTAACAATAACATAATAAGAACATACCTTCCAACTAAAGTTTTACAAAAAATGTTTCCATATATAAGACATATTTATTCCCCAGTTAAATAGCCTTAGATTTAACGAGTGCTTAGGTTTGCTGCTACGGGGAAGGTAAAAAGTGTTTTTGACCAAATGTTAATAGCATAGGATAAAATAAATACATTTACCAAATTTGATTAACATATATCCATAAACAAGTAAACTACAACAGTTTTCATTTCCTGCATAAAAATAACATGGGAAGGTTAAAGATAAACTTTTTTCATTTTCTCTGTAACCGTTAGACGTACAACAACGCTTCAATATACTACGTAAATTATTTCTTTCTTAAGCTCTACAAAAGGGTTTGGAAAGAAATTGCAAAGTTTTATGTTTTTAGGGTTAAAACTGGGAAAAACTTTTACCCCATAAAACCCCGTTCCCATAGTCCAAGCCATCTCCAAGCCAAATTTAATTAAAATCGGACAATAACTACTCGAGTTATACTGTTCACGGACACATTTATAATATCTCTCTATATATATCTATAATATTAAAACAAAACAGTGTTTTTTTTATTTCACGATTCTGAATCAACCACTCGACGGATTTTCATGATTTTTGTGTTGAAAGAAAGATAATTTTGAGAACTAGGGAATGTCATAATTTTAGTTTAGGGTCCCAGTTTTCTAGAAATTAAGTTTTAGTTTTTAAAAAGTCTAGCAGCCGACGCTAAGATTCTAAACTAGCTTTTGGCATAAAATAATTTGCTTAACATAACAGCTGTAAACATTCAGCTTTTGTGTCACAAATTCAGCATTTGGATAAAAATGTAAAGACATACTTAGGGTTGACTTATTTATACTATGTGTAATGCTAATCATTGATACGTTCAATTCTTCTCTAAGAGGATGACAGATTAATTAAATATACATAGTAAAATACTAGGATGTTCAAATTATTTTTTAAAGCAATCTTTGTAATCTTCGATTTGTTTTAGAGCAATATAATTTGTTTTAACTAACAGCTGGTTAAATATAAACTATGGAACTATGAGGTTATTTTATGTACTCTTATTTTGTCATTGATTATAGGAAATAAGTAAGATTAGTAGAGATAATTAGACCACAGTTTAAAATAGTTTAGACCAAAATTAATTAAACCTCAGTACAAATCAAGGCTCTGTACACGAGTCTTGATAAAAAAGGATAAATGCAAATTATTTTACTGCTCCACTTTTCAAGGAAAGATTAGAAAAATAACAGTGTTTACATGTTTTAATTCTTCATGGTAGCTTTCTGTTTACAATTAATGTTTGTCTGCTTTAACTTTGTTTGGATTAGGCCCGGAAATATTGATGTCATAAAAAGAAGATCAAGAATAATCAGGAATCACGATTTTAAATTACCACCACAACCTCAGCCGGGTTTTATACAAAGATAAACAGATGGATGACATAGATTGAACACAACGTCAACATTGACCTAGGATACTGCAATTAGACAAACCATCCTTTTATGAAATCGTGTTCAGTTGTGGTTACGTTTGGGGGTGCCTATATCAGCGCCCCCAAACGTGAAAATATCACTTTTATTTCAACTATGAATATACAGTATTATAAAGGGTGCGCCAAAAAAACCTGACGGTTTCTGTTTTGTAATAAGTCAGCTGTTATACTAGCTAGAGACCTCATTGTTGTAGTGAACGATTGCTTATGTTATGCCATTTTTAGGTTATGTTTGGTAAAACATCATGTCGTCAAAAGAAAGTTACTGTCTAGTGTGGTGCAGTGTGGTGTGGCACTGTTTGGAGTCATCGGACCATATGTTTTTGAGGACGAAAGTGGGAACAGCCCCTGTCACTGTAAACTCGGAACGCTATTTGGAAATACTGAGGGGGTTTTTGGTTCCACAACTGCGGATGTTATGAGGGATAGACATGACTAACAAGTGGTTTCAACAGGACGGCGCAACTTGTCATACAGCCAATTATTCAATGTCAGCTTTGCGTGAACTCTTAGGGATCTCTTGGTTTGGTGATGTGCTGTGGTCAGCTCGATCCCCAGACTTAATTTTGTGTGACTGTTGGCTGTGGGGATACTTTTTGTTTCGAAATGTCAAACCATCCCTGAACTCAAGCAGTGTATCAGGGAAGAGATTGCTTCTATTCATCAGGCGAGGGTGGCTGCAAATATGCAAAAAAATGGGAAGCCTGTGTTTAGGAGAAGGTGATATAACCTGAGTGATATAATTTTTCATAAATGAAAATGGCATAGTCGTGTGTACAATATAACGTTATTTAATACATGAAATTGTAGTTTGTTCTTGAGCTATTTAGTATTAAAAACCGTCAGGTTATTTTGGCGCACCCTTTAGTTTAAATGAACTAATATGGGAAATTACTATGTACATTTATTCGATGAGGGTGGGTAATTATCAAGGATAGCACTGATAACGGTATGGATAATAAACATTAACAATTACATCATTAGCTTTACTAGCGTGTTTACTTTTTTATATTCCTGCTACATGTGACCAGTTCTTTTTTTCAAATGAATGTTATTTGAACCCAACAGCTGTTTCAAAACAAACTGTTATTGTTTTTACTTTTCTTTGTTTACACTTATTTATTTAGCAATTAATTGATGTTAGGACACCAAAGTTAAATTATGTGTACTATGAATTTTATTGGATATTATCGTTTTATTTTAGGTCGTTTCTATTCAGACCTACTGGAAATTGTGTATAGTAGTTGTATTGTGGTGATAATAATTATGGAAGAGGCAGGTATGCGATGGAAGGTGGTATCGTTGACTAGGTCTATACACTTCTCAATTGACTATTACTCTCTCTACTATAGGCTACTTATAATCAGTCTGTGCGAATCGGCTGCAAATCTCACTTCAACGCTTTTCACATCGTAAAAATTGCAGAATTGCTGTTTTATTGTAAATTAAAATGGTATAAGATTACCTGTTTCTGTCTGTGATCCTAATTTGTAGTATGAGCTACCGGTTTCGAGGTTATAACCTCATCATCAGGCTTCTTGTCACTCTTGCGAGGTCGTCGAGTTTTATAAACACACAAAACACTGACATTTAAATAAATAAGTTACAAGACATTGACGGATACGATACGAATATATTTAACATAAAAAACTGGAACTAGTTCCTACACGACGCGGCACGGGCAAACGTTTTGTCATGACTGGGGTTGTGGCTGACCTTGCTGCCCCCTCCCGTTATCAGAACAATGCCGATGGTATTTTTGCCTCTCATTATTGTAGATGCGAATCGCTGCGTCGTATATTATGTTTGATTTAAATGATGTTTGTTCATTTAAAACTTTTTGGGGTTCTGACTTGATGGCTTTATATATTTCAAACTCTTCCATGCTGTTTAACAAACTTCCTTTTCTTGGGCAGAGATGTAGTATTTTTAAATTCTTCTCAAAACTTGTATAATTATGGTTTTCATTTATTAGATGGTTGGCGAATGTTGATTTCGAATCAGATTTTTTACTGGACGGGATGTGTTCTTTATATCTTATATGAAATGAACGAGATGTTTGGCCTATGTGATATTTTTCACAGTCATCGCACTGAAGCTTGTAAACACCAGTTTTGTCCTCCTTCCTGGTTGTTTGTTTATTATTATTTTCCTTCAACATTGAGCTCAGTTTGTTGTTTGCTCTAAATGAAACTGTGACATTGTTTTTCGCCATTTCCTTCTTTAATGTGTGATTGAGGACAAAGCCGTAATCAGCGGAAGCAAAACGTTTTCCGGGGGTGGGTGGATTGGTCTCAGTTTTTGTATTTTTATTTTTATGTCGGGTTACTAATTTGTCAATAATTGTGCTTTTATAACCATTGGCTATTGCGATGTGTTTTATAATCAGAAGTTCTTTTTTATAATCAGCAGGATTTAATGGGATGGACAATAGCCTATGGACCAAGCTGTTGTATGCGGCCATTTTTTGATTATAAGGATGATGTGATGAACAGTGTATTGTTTGGTCAGTAGCTGTGGGTTTCCTGTATATACTGAAATTAAGTTTTGAGTCGACCTTTGTGATTTTGAGATCTAAATAATTTATTGAATCATTATTCTCTGTTTCAAGTGTGAATTGTACATTTCTGTGGATCTTATTGAGATTGTTGTTCATTAGGTTGAGCTGTCTGATGTTGCCATTAAACAGGCAATTATTGTAAAATTATCGGATTTAAAATGCATATCGTATAGGCCTATGATGGAATAAAAACATATTTGGTAACACAACATTTGTTCACAAGATGATTTTTCACATTAAAACTGCAAGAAACTTTGTCTTTATATGTGTAAACTAGCTGATCTGAATTGTACACGGTTTTAATTGACTACTGAATTCCCGTACGTAGGACGGGCTAACACCTCGTATATATTAAAATTATAGTGATTAGGACTACTATTATGATATATAAATACATTATTGAAAACTAAGTTGTGACCCAAAGTTCTAGGGGGGGAATTAACTAGTATCATAGACTAACCAACACAAGTAGACTTCTCATCCCATTGTAAATTTTGAAGCACGTTTTTCGTGTCTAGTTCATGTACGTGACACAAAGGCGCTAGTGTCGATGAAACTTTGTTTCCATTATTTTAGGGTTAATTTCTTGATTTGTGCTTTACTGTTTGGTTATATAACTAGGGGACAAGTTATTGTTTATGATTAGATCGTATTATTTGCTTAAACGAGGTTTTAAATGGCTGTAATAACGGGAAACAAATTGTAAACAAAACACGACCTCTACATAAACCGTACATGAACTAACAAAAAAATTGTCTTCAGCTGTTCCATAAGG